GTGCTCCTATGTTGGTTGCATATATATTTATAAGTGATATGTCTTCTTGGTGGAGTGTCCCTTTTATCATTATATATTTCCCTTCTTTGTCTTTCTTAACCTGTTTTATCTTGAAGTCTACTTTGTCTGATATGAGTATGGCAACACCTGCTTTCTTTTGTTTGCCATTTGCTTGGAGTATTGTGTTCCATCCTTTCACTCTGAGCCTGTGCTTGTCTTTAGTGCTGAGATGTACACACACACACTTTTCAAAATAAAAGTAAAGTCATACTATACATGCTATTTGAATCATGAACATTGGCCATAGCATAAAATCTTTCTCTAGAACATAATTCTTACATACTGTTTATCACTGAGCAACTGTATCATAGTTTAACCATTCCCCTCTATGTAGACATTCATTTCCAGTATTTTTAAGCAATGCTTTTTAGAGTAACCATTCAAGAATGTTAAATGACCAAGTGTCCCATCCCTGATTTCTCAGGTGTTTTTCTGGCAAATTCAAGTATTGTAAGAGGAAGAACTTTAGAGTCAGACAGGCTCTGAATTTGAATCCTGCCTTGTCACATACTGGTGCTGTGACCTCAAGCAGAAACAACTGATATAAAGTACCCTTACAAAATAGCATTTCTTGATTCCTTTTCTTTCCCTTTTCAAGTACTTTGTTCAAATATAATGCTAGCCTTGAGGAACTTTGTAAAGACATTTTAATATTCTTATTCCCTGGAAAAAACAGAGACAAATGATTTTTACTAATAAACTTTTGGCTACTAATATTCATTTTCTAGTCATCAATTTTAATGTGTTTTTTTCCCCTCTCTTTTTCTCCTAGAGATAAGATTTCAGTTTCCACAGCTGACTGGAGTGCTTACCCTTGCTTTCTTTATTCATAATTGTATTATCACACTCCTAAAGAACAACAAGAACCAAGAAAACAATGTGAGTAATTAACTGAGGAATTGACTTTTGTTACTGGATCTTAATTTTCAAATTGGAACCATACAGCAGTGGTTAGCAAACTTTTTCTGTAAAAGTTCAGATGGTAAATATTTTAGGCCTTGCAGGCCATGTGGTCTTTGTTATAACTGCCCAACTCTGCTGTGGCATGAAAGTAGTCATAGACAATATATAAACAAATGAGTGGTGGCTGTATTTCAAGAAAACTTTATTTACAAAAATAGACAGTGGGCCAGATTTCACCCATGGGCCATAGTTTGCCAACGCCTGCTGTAAAGCTATCACTAAAAAAATAAAGAGGTATAGCCAATAGCCAATAGTGGTGATGAAAATCTTTAAAAAAGAACCAAGTGACCTAAAAAAAGACAGGAAAACGGAAACAAAGAATAGATGGGACAAATAGAAAACAAATAGCAAGATAATAGATTTAAACCTGATCATATGATAATTGCATTAAATATAAATGGTCTAAACACTGCAATTAAAAGATAGAGATGATCAGACTGATTAAAAAAACAAAACCTAACTATATGCTGTCTACATGAAACTTACATTAAATATAAAGATATATCATGCAGACAATGAACATAAGAAGGGTAGAGTAGCTGTTTTAATATCAGACAAAATAGACTTCAGAACAAGGAGTATTGCCAAAGATAAAGAGGAACATTACCTAATGATCTTTAGGGATCAGTTCACCAAGAAGATCATCATCATCATCATCATCCTATATATGTATGCACCTAATGACAGAGCTTCCAAATAAATGAAGCAGCAACTGTCAAAACTGACAGGAGAAGTTGACAAATCCACAATTATAATTGGAGATTTCATCACCCTCCCTTAATAATTGATAGAATAAATAGAGCATAAGTAAGGATATAGAAAACATGAAAAACACCATCAACTTACTTGACCTAATTGGCATTTATAAAAGTCTTCTCTCAAACAACAGCAGAACGTGCATTCTTTTCAAATGCACATGGAATATTTACCAACATGTACCATATACTGGGTCATTGAACAAGTCTCGATAAATTTAAAAGGATTGAAATCATACCAAGTATGTTTTTTGAGCACAATGAAGTGAAGTTAGAAATCAGTAACAGAAATTAATTTGGGAAATTGACAAATATGTGGAAATTAAACAACATACTCCTAAATAAACAATAGGTCAAAGAAGAAATTACAAGAAAAATTAGAAAATACTTTGAGGTTACCGACAATGAAGACACAACTTACCAAAACTTATGGGATGCAACTAAAGCAGTGCTTAGGGGGAAATTTATAGCTGTAAATGCCTACATTAAAAAAGAAGAAAGATCTCAATAACCTAACCTTCTACCTTAAAACACTGGAAAAAGAAGAGCAAACTAAACTCAAAGCAAGTAAAAGTGTTAACCAGTTACTTGTGGCCTTGTCTGCAGATTTTGAATTCAATTTGATAGCTTCTAACCATGTAAACAAAAATCATGATGAAGCTTTAATAGTGGTTTATACAGTTGTTACCAAAATACAAAGGAAGGAAGAATTCACTGTGCCTGGGGCTTCTGAGAAGGCTTCAAGTAATGTTTTGCAGAGTCATTATGAAGGCAAAAATCTTTCTAAGTAGAAGGAAGTTAGCTCTCAAATTAGGGCAAGAATATAAATCAGGCTCTTCCATTTTTATCTTTACTGTTACCTGGTAACACATCTGGCCTATTACCTGTGAATGGAGCTGGAATTGAGTAATCTGGATTTTCCAAACTTCCTAACTTGGTGACCTTCAAATTTTATTTTCTTCATATAAAAATAGCACTATTTGATACCTACCTCTCAGGGTTTTAATCATAATTAAATATTATAAAATAGGAAAAGCATTTAACATGCTGTGGTGTACAGAGGGGGCTAGAAATTTTTAGTTTCTCTACCTCTCTTACCCTTTCTCTACTGACATTTACAGACTGTGGTTCTTTCTATTAACAGGAGAGACTGTCTTCTTCAGATTCTTTCTATTGCCTTTCAACTTGTTTTGCAATGAGAACATATTAACTGTCCTCTAAGATTTCTTCCTATGATGTTAATAAGTTAGATTGCCAGAAAAATACATAACTGAACCACATCAATTCTTCCTTTCTCTCTTCTCTCATCACTGCACTAGATTTCAATGTTAAAAGTGGCTTTTCACCAAGGGTTTATGGTATACAAGAAAGCCATGTGTAGAACATTGCTTTATTGTTTTATAAGAACCATAAGTGGGATATTCTTTGTTAAATTGCTCACCATCATTTATACAAAGACTGTGGAGAGAAATTTTTCTGTTTTCAAGTCTAGGAAAAAGTTTCTCTTAATGAACCCATTCTTCTTATTTGACGATAAGGGCCATACAACTCTTCTTGTTTCTGTTTTTGCCATAACTTTTCAAAAACTTAAGGATTAAGTTCTCTTATCATTCGCTGTACCTTTTCTTAGGCAAAATATATTTTTAGAGTTTTTATCTTCCCTCCCACATTAGATTTGGTTTTTATCTTGGAATTGTTTAGTCTTATTGTACTTATACTTTGGTCAATAAGCAGTTTTAAATCTTTTGAAGGAATAGGAAGAAAATCTTACTTATCCTAAGTAAACATTTGGAACTTTGAAAATTGAAGATATACTTCATACCCTTTACTTCTAAATCCGTTCCTCCTCCTTCACAAATTCTCTGACTCATTGCCACTTGAACTAAGCTGCCTACCCCAAGTTTTAGGAAGTTTAGAGAGATATATGGAAAATATCTCTTTCGTCTTCACAAGAAATAGTGCTTATATCACTAATAGGGTATACCTTGGTGCCCGCTAAGTCACCTGTCTATCCTAATCAACTGTTCTCTTATGCTAACTTAGACCATGTACCCCAGAAACCAATTTTGTGAAGTAGGATTCTCATGTATTGTATCATTCTATCCATAAGGCTGTGCTTCTCAAACTTTGCCACCAAATTTTCCTTAATGACAAAGGAGAACACCTTATATACCTAGGAATCTGGGGATGAAGAGCACAATTTCAGTGAAGTCTCGTGTTTTGTCTTAAACACTCATGCATATTTTATAGTGCTCATAATTAGTTTGTCTTAACTAGAAAGCAATTTTAAAATAATGAGTTAAATTACAGGCAGACCTCACTTTGCGCAGCTCCTATATGCATGAATTTCAGTTACTATGGTTTAGTTAAATTGCCTTAGTCTCCTCTAACAACATGCTTCAAATTTCAGTTACCACAGGATTTGAACGATGAGTACTTGCATAAAGTAATGGCTACTAGCCCTTCAGTTCAGGAATCAGTACATAAATAACAGATGCACGTCATGATTAGTTACAAATCACATCACTTCTTTCAAAGTTTGTCAGTGATTGGTCACTACACATCTGTTGTTCACTTTACACACAGACTGCAAAGCAGATAGTTGAGTTGCCTCCTTGTCGCCTGGTGGTAAATTCATGTGATATTTTGCAAAAACAGAGACTCGAAGAGGGAATTGGCAAACAAAGGTGAAAGTGCGACAATAGAACAAAAAGTGATAATGCTGGAAATGAAATTTGAATCAAATGGTGTTGTAGAAGAAATATCTGATTGTGGAAATGTTGACACTGCTACCAATCAAGAGTATCTAGATACGCACCCAGAGGAATTTAGGGAAGGTTGAACTTATCACCATGAATGAGGAAAGTGGTTGTGATGAAAAGAATGAAGGTGTCTCAGAGGAAGTGACGCTGTCAAAAAACTTCACATTGGAGGCGGGCCAGTGGTGTAGTGGTTAAGTTTGCATGCTCCACTTCGGTGGCCCAGGGTTCACAGGTTCGGATCCCAGGCACAGACCTACACACTACTCATCAAGCCATGCTGTGGCAGCATCCCACATATAAAATAGAGGAAGATTGGCACAGATGTTAGCTCAGGGCCAATCTTCCTCACAAAAAAAAAAACACACACACAAAAAACTTCACATTGAAAGGATTCTCAGAGAAACCTCACAACATTGAAAACACATAGGATGAAATGTTGGAAGCTGATGGAAACTTAGAAGAAAGGAATATGACGGTTAACCAAGGCGTGGAAAAGATGCTTGCTCTATATTGTAATTATACCATGAGAAGGAGGAAGCATAGTTGAAACTACTTAGGGTAAGTTTGTACAAAGAAATAAAACACTAATTCTCAATGTTTCTTATGTTTTAAATTAGTATACTAAATAAATATTAGTTTTACTATTTTTTTCATTTCCTTATACATTTGTAGCTGGCAGTGAAAGAGTTTTTAATGTTTTGACAAAAATTGTTAAAGGTCGTAGAACAACCATAATTTTTCCCATTGATTTTTATGATTGTGTTACACAGTCATTTCTTAACAATTGATAGTCAATTTATTAAAATAGTTGATACAATTATCTGCAGTGGTAACTTCAACCACTCAGTTCTGATGGAAATAATGTGCTTAATCTCTGAAGGACTGTGCTAGTCAGTGAGTTGCTTGTGGATCCTCATCTGGAATGACTTTGGAAAATCTAGAGTCTTAGAACCTTCACCACAAGGAGTTTTTCTCACAGTGACTCTCAGAGTCTTGGAAGGCATTCGAACTGGTCCTTTCACTTTGAGATTCTTTTCCTTTGTGCCTCTGATCAAGTCAGCACGCACCTTCTCCAGGGATTTTATGTTGGTGGCTGGTTGGAGTAATTCTCATTCGGTGAACCAGCACTTCTGATTTTACGGGTGTCTTTCCAGTGTCTGTAAGCCATGGCTGTGGTGCAGCTTCCTGACCGACTTGTTCTGGGTGAGAGCGAACAGCAGTGAGGCAGAAGCGGGAGCAGGTGGACCCCAGCTGCACTACAGCTGCAGGGCGTCTTCCTCAAAGAGGTGTCCGGGCATTTTTACAGTCTCATACTGCCATAAAAAGAGAGGACTGTCTTTTTGCTCCCTAAAATTCTTAAGTAGAATTGCTTTTCTGGAAATTCACACCAGTTTATGTG